GTTCCACTGACGTGCTCGTGCTCCCCATCTTCCTTCGCCTTCGACGCTCACACAGTCGCCGGCGTTTGAATCCGTCGCTAAGGCAGCTTTTATGCGGTCCATGCAATTGTTGATGCTCTAGCTCGCCATGGCCTTTGCCAGTTGGCCATTCGCGCCACCTCAGCCTCAATATGGACTGAGCACCGCCATCACCGTAACCTTCTTGATTCGTATGGGGATGACGGTCATGGCTGCGGGTTCAAGTGCATTGAAGCATTTATAGTATATCATCCGGGCCCGGGGTCTAAACAGCGAAAACCCAATGAAGTGCATACAACATGGAAATGCAACATTTTAACTTCTAGTCGCTATTAGTTTTGTATCTACCCTATTGAAATGCAATATCCAAAATCCTAGTTTTTTTTCTTTAGTATTACTTGGGCTCATTTTCGTAGTCTATTTTTTTCCTTCAGTGTTGACTGAGATAAAACAAAGCGAACATATGCATGGACATGCTTATGAAATCGTCCTTCCGTGCATTGTCCTCTGGTTCCGAGTACACCTTCCTTCTCGTTGAAGTATGCTGCCAAGGTCCAAAGTGCTGTGGTACCAGTAGCCGCCCACCTGGCCGTGGAACAGGCCCATCGTACTGCACGCCTCCGAACTTGGTGACAACTGATGACAGACGGCAGCATGCGTGGGGCTCCCTGCAGACTGTTCACCACCTGGGAGCCACAGATGTGGACCGCACATCCGACGCAGGTTCCGTTGTGGTCATGTGGCGAGGCTCCATGCAGATCTCGTGGTGGTCGCATGGCATGGCACATATGTGATTTTTTAGGAGTCTAAAAATGATGGCAGGGAAGGCGCTGCAGTCAAATTATTTTTCTTTGAGTAGCTATTTGGCATATCATATGTTTTTTCTTATAAAATTAACATGAATTCATTGATTGGATCAAATTATTATGTATCTTAGTAGATACTGAAATCTTACATGGTGCAATTTTTAGTTTTTTGTTTATCTTGTATGGAGCGCATACGTTTTTAAATGATTGTTTTTATGCAAAATATAGGGTTTGATAATTAAATTTCGAAAAGTGTTGAGCTGTTTTTGTTTGTGATGCATTTTTGTCATTTTTTGGTCAATTTCACTTGTTTGTTGATTCCGATCCGTCCTCAGTCGTTACATTGAAATAGCCGCCCCGTTATGTAGTTTCAGATTCATTACATGCACTCAATGATGTTTGTGTTGTAACAATTTGTCAAATACTGGACGCGGGTGTTATACTTAAGTAGGGAGTATATGCCTTAAAAATATGATCTCAGCTTGTAATGATTCCGAAAGGTTGCAGTTTCTGTGCCTAATATTCAGTTTCCTTCCTTGAGCTTGATGCACGCTTATTATAAATACTTACTGTGTGTTTTCTCATGCAGATTGGTACATTAATATATGCCAGAATGGTGAAAGCAAATAGCATTATGAATCCAGAGCTTTCATGCATGGATGGTAACTTGCTAATTTCATAATTCAGTATTTCTATGAGTTTCAAAATTAGAAGTTAAAAAATACATCATGTTGGGAATCTTGGCTCATATGGCTGTAAGATCTTGGAGTACAGTGTTTTGGGCCAAACTGTTGCATATTTGTTTCCTTGTACTGCTATCCAAATATAATGATATGGACTATCTTTTACAGCAAGTGGAAAAGCTGCTGAATTTGGTCAACTGAAAAGTGGTTATACGTTTGAAACATCAACTGGCCTGGCAAGAATGTGAGATGAATGCATGCCATAATCTTTCAGTAATGTGCTAGTATTACTATTCTCCTTCATATATTTATTATGTTGATTACTTGTAGGCTTTTAAGTTCCCCAACATGTCCACTTCTAGAGGCCCTTGGGAAAAAACTATCATTTGAGATAGCTGTTGGACTGAATGGTCGAGTATGGGTATGCTTCTAATATAATCGTGTTTTTCTTTCTCTTTTGAAGACTTGTAAATTATTAATGCATGTTGTGCTTGTTAATTGCTTATATACCCTATTTATGTCCTGTAGGTGAATGCTCCTTCGCCAAGTAATGTCATTGTTGTATCAAGCGCAATAAAAGAATCAGAATCTTATAGTCGCTTACAACAAAAAAGCATGGTGGAAAAACTCCTGGCTAAACTGTCATGATGGTAAGTCAGCACATAGTTATTCAAACTTATAACGTGGGGTGGCACCCCATTCTCATTAGTCTGTACTTGTAAATACCCCCTCCGTATCAAAATATAAGACATTTTTTGACAGTCAGTGTTAAAACGCCTTACATTTTGATACAGAGTGAGTAATATATAACCAGTTCTTTCTCCTTGGAAAATGCATTGCACTGTGCTGAATTTTTGATTGCTGCAGTTCTCACTGAGCTTTATGCATTTGTCAACAGTGCACCTATATCATTCATCCTGCATAAGGTGAACAACAGGACAACATCATTTTACATGTTTCAGAATTTATACAATTATTAAATAGACTTTTGAGTGACGAATACATAGCTTCTACATATGGTCAGCAGCATGCGAACCATTTGGACACTTAAATGTAGACTTCTTGATCGCAAATGTTAATTCTTCCTTTTTTTTCTTCACTGGATCAATGGACACCGAGACATAACTATTGCTTCATCATGGAGCGATATCATAATCTATTCCACTGGGTTAAGGAGGAGATTGCACTGCATGTTTCATGTCTGCTGTTGTCGATTGAGAAGTGTTAGAAAATTTGACTGCATCTTCCCTTGCAGGGAGCAGGATATAATCAGGCACTGTAAAAGGATTCTGAATTATTGTTTGTCAAACGCCGCAGATGATTCTGTAACCGGAAAGATGGCTAGTCACTAGCATGCACCTTAGCAAGGAATAGTAGATGGGATGGCATGTAAAATAGACGCGTTAAAGTGGTTGGTGCTTTTTGATGATGTAGGGGTTAAAGCAACCGGTTGATTGGTAAACATTCTAAATGACCGTGTGGATGTTGTACTTGCGGATACATGGTTTCTTAGCTATGTAATATGCTACCGTAAGAGATTTGCACAAGGCTGCGTGTGCTGCTCTACTGAAAGATGATTGATGAATATGACTCCTGTATTTTATAAATTTATAGCGTGTGAAACTATCACACTGAGCTCTGTAAGCAAGATCAGGTGAACTCCTGCTCAATGATATGGTGCATGATTTCACGTTTCCTGACACTAAAAGGTAGCAGAACTGGTTTGTACCGACACACGCTCCCGCGCCTGAGATGCAATCCAACGTCTCCCAGGTGTGGCTCTAGAACATTTTGCAAAGAAGCCCCTCAGAAGTTTATGAATTGCGTGCAGGTACAGCAGCCTTTTAGATGCGTTGAATCTGAGATCAACGGCGGTGTCAGCTGAAACTTTCCTGCGGATCACAAGCGCGCAAACGTGACGCCTCCCGATTCCCCAACAAACTGTCCACCCTCTCCGTCCCGCGCTGCGCCCGGCACACGCAGGTCGGCACCGTCGCACGCCAGCAAACTGTCCACCCTCTCCGTCCCACGCTGCGTCAGGCACAGGCAGGTCGGCACCGTCGCACGCGTCGACACGAGCCGACACGCAGACACGGGACACGGAGTCCCAACGCACCGCGGCGCCGCCAGCCACGGCGCTCTCTCTTTGATGCATTTTTGCTTCCCGTCGGCACCTTCCGGGCCTCGGACTTGTCGTCCTTATCTCAAAATTATGTCTCGTTTTTCTTTTCCGTGCGACGGGCGATGATGTGTATGGCATGCACGGCCCCTCTGACGGCGATGTGTGTGTGTACGCAATCTCGTTCTGAAACCGGCTGCGGCTTTCGATTCGCGTCGCGTCGGACAACACAAGAGCATCAGCATCACGCGCCCATCGTTTGCTCGCCTTTCCCCTCCCTCTCCCCCCTCGGCTTCCCCTCTCGGCTCCAGCAAAACTCCTCCAGTCCAGACTACACCCGGTGAGCGCCCTTTCCCTCTTCCCCGACCTCCCATCCCTTCTCCGTGCGTTCGCCGCTGCTTTGCCCTAGCTGGGTGGCAGGCGGCCCACGAAATTCTTGGACAGAGATTAGTAGATTTCCCGGCCCCGGCCGGGGGAAGATAAGGATAGTCTCCTTCGGCGAGGTGGTAGCTTGTCCTTTTTTAATTTTCTTTTTGCTAACAACGTGGTGGCTTGTCTTCGTACATGTTTGGTAGTTCGGTGGTTGCTGGTACTCCCTCTGTTGTTCACAAATAGTGTAAGATGTTTTGGTCTTTTGATATTTCAATATGAACTGCATACTGACTGAAATGAGTGAACATACACACTAAAACGTGTCTATATACATTCGGTTCAGAAAATAGTTAGAATATCTTATACTTCCTCCGCCTGAAATTACTTGTCACATAAATGGATGTATGTAGACATATTTTTAGTTAAGTCCATTTCTATCCATTTCTGCGACAAGTAATTCGGGATGGCGGGAGTATTTGTCAATGGAGGGAGTATGTCGAGCTGAGCTGATCCTTAATCAGACTAATTATTATGTACTCCCTCCGCCCGGAATTACTTGTCATGTAAAATGGATGTACCTAGACATATTTTTAGTTATAGATACATCCATTTCTGCGACAAATAATTCGGGACGGAGGGAGTAGGTGGTTACATTTTTGTTCTTCTAAAGCAATATGTGGCCACGGCCACTACCGTTACCCCATTGATCGTGAGTTTGAGGCTTTGATCAGTGGTGCATGTGACTGGGTTCATGGTCTATGGCAGCACTACTTTATGTGTTTTAGATGATGTTGATCATTCTTTATTAGGATTGAAAAAAGCAAATCTGTTTAGTTTGACTACCTGATGCTTAACGCCACGTGCTGCTGCTGTTGAGATCTCCTGAAGCTGCTACATTTTAAAATAAATGAGTAAAATGCTGCCACTCTTTTCTCTGTTCCTAATTGTTTGACAATTCTTGATTTCTAGGTTGGAATTAGGCCCCACTGAGCGCCCCCAACCATGAGTTGCGGGAGGTATACCATACCAGCTAGTCTCTTATTTTTCTTTATCTCGACTGTAGTTCTGCTACAATTATGAGTTCATAACATTTTGACATGTGATGCTCATGCAGATCTGAAAACACTACCAGAAAATGCAGGACGCGTTCAACACCTGGTGAAACGATGTATCTACATACTGCAGATGCTAAAAAGATCACCCACTACCAAGCTAATCTACCAACAACAATGGATCGCGATATCGGCGCCTACCCTGTGAAGCACCACTTTCCGTCTCCTATAGTTTCTTGGATAGAAGACCTTTCTAGCTTTGGCGATGTTCCTTTTAGTCATGATACTGAATACGTGGATGATCAATCAACACCTTCATTTGGGCAGTCTTTTGCATCTAGCAATTTGCATGACATGCAAATAGTACGTTCTGTTTTCATTTCTAATCCCCTTCTCTGAGTGTGTGCTCTTCCTTGGAGCATGTGAAGACACTCAAGTTTTAGATAAAATTGCTGATGTATGTGTGTCTTGCAGTCAGTGAGATTGACAGACGAATTCATGGAACTTGCAAAGGAGAATACAAGCAATAATCTAGAGACCTGTGGAATTCTTGGTGCTTCATTTGTAAGTGCAGTTGGGAGAAGAATTAGATACCAATGTGACCACTGATAGTCTTGCTATATTCACATTTGCGTCTTAATTTATTTTACATTTATTTGCAGAGGGATGGAACTTATTATGTGACAACATTGATCATTCCAAAGCAAGAAGGAACTGCTCACTCAGTATGTCAGTAACTGCATGGTTAAAAAAAAAGACATTATGTTGTTTAACTTGTCATTTTACCTTTCAACATATCATTTGTCATCTTACTTTAATGTGTCTTGCTTCCATTTATCTATCTGAATCTGCCTGTTTCCAAATGCAGTGTCAAGCTTCTAACGAGGAGGAGATACACGCCGTATTATCAGAGCAGTCACTTTACCCTGCAGGGTGGATACATGTAGATATCTGAACATTCCCATACTTCATCGAATTCAGTTTTCTGTTGGTTTATAATATTGTAAATGAAATAAATACACATGGCTAGCCTACCTCATATGGTCTAAGAACATAGGTATGATGAGACAAAACTGTATCAGTGTATCCAGTGTTTAGTGCGAAGTTAGGGTGTGTAATCTGACTTTCCTGTCTTCTGATTTGAAACTAGCATTATTTAAAAAAATATATCACGGGAGGTAAGAACATAAATATTTTAAGATATATATTCATAATGGTTACCATTGAATATCCACTGTTACTGTTAATAAAAGCATGAATACAGCCTCCACCACTTAATAATATACTGCAATTGTGGCCATTGCTGCAGCCAATTTAAAACTATTGTGTTTGTCAATTCTAATACATTTGAAAGAAGATTGTGAAAGAAGATTAACATAAAGCACAATTAATACCAATATTTTTCTTATAGAAAACACACTGAACTTAGCAGCATGGAATCCATCTTTTTTAACCAAAACTTGTTACTTGAGCATATGCTTTCTTAGTGTGCTTAGATGCAGTAACTTCTGTAATTTAACAGTTAAGTCAACAATTGACATTTTGCTTTGTCTTTTCCAGACTCACCCTTCACAAACATGCTTTCTATCGTCGATCGATTTGCACACTCAATTCTCTTATCAGGTATCTAAATAAGTTTTGTTGATGTTTATGAATTAAGGATATTGCTTCTTTTTATGAAAATCCTAGTCTCATATACCATGGACATCCTCCATGAAAAAATTCAGCTAGAAATTATATTTGCCGAATCCTTCAACCACTAGAGTAGCTAACAAATATGATTTTAATCTGTATGCAACAACGCACATTTGAAACTTTTGAGTTATTGGTATTGGTACGACAGTGCCATATCTGATGATCAAACCACTTAAGGGGCTTGTATGCTGCTAGGCATAAAATGTATAAAATAATAAGTTCGCTCTCAAAATGCTGAATAGAAACAATCACAAGTTCACCAATATTAACTCCAAAAGGCACCATGTCATCTGCAAACATGGTCTATCCTTTATTGAGAAGGGGTTGACTTGCTGTCACTTGTTAGGCCTTTGAGCCGATACTTTATCTTCAGATGGGAAAAATCACATATTGTATGGTACACGGCCTAAGGCATATCGGGCTTAAGCTGCATCAGTGCTTTAGTTGAACGTTGTCACCTAACTTTATAGCAGGGTAGACCAGCCAAGTTAATGCAAATTTACAGAAGCATGACCTAACTGAGTTAGTGTGATTGTTGTGTTCTCCCTGGTTTGCACTAGCGAGCCAACATTGATAAAAACATGCACGCTTCGTTTGGATGTCTGTATTGAGCCCACTGAATTGAATTGGGATGCAATACCAAATTAACCAACACATTGAGATGCAATACCAAATTAACCAACACATTTGGATGCGCGGTGGGAGACGGCTGGGGGTTGTGAGGTGGGAGGTCACCGCCCTCTTCTGTGCTGCCCCTTTCTTCGTTTCTGTTGGGGGCAAGTGAACCGGCACCTTTTGCGGGAGCGAGACAATTGAGAGCATTATGGACCGTCTCTAGCTTGGTAACAAGGGAGAGAGCATGCAATTGTGAGAGTAGAGATCAGAACTGAGGCAAGTTTCCAAGAGTCAATGCGGTGATCATCCATCCAAACAGCCGTATTGGAGTCTAGACAACACCAATTCACGATTCCAGGGTCAAATACATACATCCAAACACAGCGGTAGTCTTATCTCAGAATAGCTGGCTTTGTGTAACAATCTGTCGGGAGCTCACACTAATTCACGAGTAAACAGTAAGCATGGCAAAAACGGTATGCATCTCATACCGATACCTAAGCATGTGAGCACATACAATACATAGAACCGAAACATTCCCGCAACCCGCGGCGCGCGCGTCGTGGCGAGGCGGGCGGCGGAGGAGGAGCGGGCGTGTACAACTCCTATTTCCAAGCTCCCAATAGCATGTGATGGGGCAGCCCTTATAAAGAGGTCTTACTCTTCTTACTGTAGCAGTATGGTACTAAACTTCCCACACTTCCCACCACTTGCCGTACACATGCATGGGCCTTAGAGATTAACCAGGGATTATTGTCTTATATGGGCCTAAGCCCATCCATAATCCAACACTTTCATGCAGTTATCACTTTTTTTACATAGAACTATCAACTTTATGCAGGTCATGCTACCAGAAGCTGTTGCCATTGTTGCTGCTCCCACCGATCCTACTAGGCATGTGTTTTCTTGCTTAAAATTAAGTTAAGATGCAGTGGCGAGTCATTCATTTTATTGTTATACCTAATTGCCCGCGGTGATGCCACCTGGCTAGGCATCACCTGGCTAACAATATCGTAGAATAAAGTCTGAAAGTCTTTCTGCTGTTTGCAAACCTTCCAGGAGCTATGGTATATTCAGGTTGACAGATCCAGGAGGCATGGATGTGCTCAGGGAGTGCAGTGAGAGTGGGTTCCATACTCACCGAGAGACGACGGATGGCGGTCCAATATATGAAACCTGCACCAACGTGCATTTCAAACCTAATTTGCGGTTTGAGATTGTCGATCTGCGTTCTGGTGCGTGACCAATCCGGCATACCCTCTGGCATACTGTAATATGTAAGTATGTGATGTGACGCATATGCCATAGATGATGATAGATCTTACCGGTGACTGTTGGTCAGCTTGATGGGCGTGTTAAAAAATGGTGTTACCAACCTATGATGTCAACTATTCCCTCCGTCCCGGAGTAACTCTTAACTGGTCTGTTGTAATGTGGTGTGCCTGAAAAAACAGACACGCTCGTCTAATGTATTTTATGTACTACCCCCTCCATTCGGAAATACAAGTCTTTTTTTTAAGATTCCAATATAGTCTACATATGGAGCAAAATGAGTGAATCTACATTTTAAAATACGTCAATATTCATCCGTGTGTAGTTTATATTAAAGTCTTTAAAAAGACTTATATTTAGGAACGCAGAAGAAAGTAGATAATTGCCAGTGCGTTGCAACAATATCATGAATATTTAACAATATCATGAATATTTAAGTAGGTTAGCATGGGATGTACCTGCTCCTCATGTTAGTGTGATTTTGTAAAAATAATGGTGATTTTTATCCGCTAAGCATTTTCTTTATCAAAGAACACAATAATTTAGCATATAATATTTTGTGAGCACTCTCACGACAAAACTGGGTTAATAGATGTTGGATGTATAAGTAGTATCTCTACTTGATGTAAAAGATTTGGCTAGCATAAGATGAGAAGTAAGCTTAAACATGTTGGAGATCCATGACAATATAACTTATATTCGGATATAAGAAAACATAATACATTATATTGTTTTCCTTGTCCGACATCACTTTTTAGCATATAATATTTTAATGAATGCTCACAATAACAAAAGAGGTTCAAGATAGTATATTTATACATGAAATCTTTTTTTCTTTATTACTTCCTATTAATTGTAACAATGACTAAAACTATGTTTGTCAACTTCCAACAAATTTCATGTGACATACTCCTTATATGTGAAGTCATCACCTTTCATAAGATTATTATATAATCTTTTTATTTCTTTTATATTATTTTCTTTTCCAAGATCAAAACAAGAGAGCAAAGCCCTCAACTCAAAACCACTTTTTATTATATAACTCTCGGACTCGATTACATAGATAAATCAAAAGCAAAACTAAAAGAGTAGATCATACTAAAACTTTTATTCTACTAGATCAAGATATAACCAAAATGATCGAACTAACATAAACGATAAAAGTACAAATGTGATAGTGATACGATACCGGGGCACATGCCCCAAGCTTGTCACAAGCCAATGGGAGTGCCCATACCCATGTACTCAAGTCTCCTTCTTCGAAGGTGGTGATGACAAGGTTGATGATGTGGAAGGCTTGTCCTCTGTCTTTCAAGGCATAGGCTCACCATCGTAAAAGGATAAACGAGTCTCTGAAATTCTCAAAATCTGGAGCCAAACTCATCCTCTTAAATCTGTATTCATACTCACAGTTTTGGTTTTGCATGTCTCAATGGATTGAGGGTGTTGCATCACCTCCGGAAGATAGTGGTTGACGACCTTCTCGTAGAACTTGTCCTTGGGGGCTTTTGGAGACGTTATGGCGATCTAGATCTGTCAGAAAAGTAGCTCGAAATAGGAACAGAGGATATCACCGTGATACGGTGGTCAAAACCTTCGGGAGATTATATAATAAATTTTTACCGTGCATAACAAGTATCTGGGGGAAAACAAAGTCCAGAGGACACACGAGATGGCCACAAGCCCGGGAGGCGCGCTCCCACGGCTTGTTGCCTCCTCGCGCGCTATTCGGACTACATATTTTGCTATTTTTTAAATATTTCAAAACGGAGTACAATTGCCTTTGAAAAAAATTTGGAGTCGGTTTACTTGCCATATCATATATCTATTCCTTTTTAGAGTTCTGGAGCGTGTTGGAAAGTTTCCCTTATGTACTCCTCCGGTGTTATGGTATGAATAATATTAGTTTGAACGTTTATGGGAGTACCTGAGATAAAATGTTTGATTATTTGCCCATTCACCGCCTTCGACGTTGTTGATCTTGATGGCACTGGAACGATAAACTTCTTCAATAATGTAAGGCCCTTCCCATTTAGAGAGAAGTTTTCCTGCAAAAAGTCTTAATCAAGAGTTGTATAACAAGATTTGGTCACCTACATTAAATTCCCGCTTTTATATTCTTTTGTCATTGTCATCTTTTAACCTTTTCTTTAAACATCTTGGCATTTTCATAGGTTTGGGTTCTCCATTCATCAAGTGAGCTAATGTCAAATAACCTCTTTTCACCGGCAAGTTGGAATCATAGTTGAGCTCTTTAATTGGCTAATAAGCTTTGTGTTCTAATTCAAGAGGTAAGTGACATGCTTTTCCATAAACCATTTTATATGGAGACATACCGATGGGATTTTTATAAACAGTTCTATAAGCCCATAATGCATCATCAAGTTTCTTAGACCAATTCTTCCTAGATTTGTTAACACTCTTTTGCAAGATCAGTTTTATTTCTCTGTTACTTAATTCTCAGTAGACTGAGGATGATAAGGAGATGCAATTCTATGGTTAACATCATACTTAGCAAGAAATTTACGGAAATCACCATGAATAAAGTGTGAGCCACCATCAGTCATTAAATATCTAGGGACTCCAAATCTCGGGAAAATAACTTCTTTAAGCATTTTAATAGAGGTGTTATGATCAGCACTACTAGTTGGGATAGCTTCTACCCACTTAGTAACGTAATCAACATCAACTAAAATATGAGTATACCCATTAAAGGATGGAAACGGTCCCATATAATCAAATTCCCAAAGATCAAATGGTTCAATGACAAGTGAATAATTCATTGACATTTTCTGACGTCTACTAATGTTACCAATTCTTTGACATTCATCATAAGACAAGACAAACTTACAAGCATCTTTGAAGAGAGTAGGCCAATAAAAACCAGATTGTAATACCTTGTGCACAGTTTTATCTCCAGCATGGTGTCCTCTGTAAGCCTCGGAGTGACACTTGCGTAGGATCTATTCCTGTTCATGCTCAGGTACATATTGTCTATTAACACCATCTACTCCTTCTTTATAAAGGTGTGGGTCATTCTAGAAGTAATGTCTTAAATCATAGAAAAACCTTTTTTTTGTTGGTATGTGAAACTAGGTGGTATAAATTTAGCAATAATAAAATTAGCATAGTCTACATACCATGGAGTACTACGAGAAGCATTTATAACAACTAATTGTTCATCAGGAAAATTATCATCAATAGGTAGTAGGTCATCAAGAATATTTTCTAACCTAGACATGTTATCTACTACGGGGTTCTAGCTCCTTTCCTATCAGTAATATGTAAATCAAATTCTTGTAGCAAGAGAACCCACCTAATGAGTCTATTTTTAGCATCTTTATTTTCCATAAGGTATTTAATAGCAGCATGGCCGGTGTGAACAATTACTTTAGAATCAACAATATAAGATCTGAATTTATCACAAGCAAACACAATCGCTAAAAATTCTTTTTTAGTAGTAGCATAATTTCTTTAGGCATTGTCTAGAGTTTTACTAGCATAATGGATGACATTTAATTTCTTATCAACTCTTTGTCCTAGAACAGCACTGACAACATAATCACTAGCATCACACATAATTTCAAAGGGTAGGTTCCAATCAGGTGGTTGAACAATATGTGCAGAAATTAAGGCTTTCTTAAGTATTTCGTAGGCTTCTAAACAATCATCATCAAAAACAAATGGAACATCTTTTTGCAAAAGATTAGTAAGAGGCCTAAATTTTTTAGAGAAGTCTTTAATAAATCTCCTATAGAAACCAGCATGACCAAGGAAGCTTTTTATACCTTTGATATCTTTAGGACACGACATTTTTTCAATAGCACCTACTTTAGCTCTATCAACTTCAATACCTTATTCGGAAATTTTATGCCCCAAGATAATACCTTCATTAACTATAAAGTGTCGCTTCTTCCAATTCAAGACAAGATTAGTTTCTTCATATCTCTACAAAACTCGGTCAAGGTTGCTTAAGCAATCATCAAAAGAAGTTCCGTATACGAAAAAATCATCCATGAAAACCTCAACAATCTTTTCACAAAAGTCAGAGAATATAGCAGTCATACATCTTTGAAAAGTAGCAGATGCATTGCATAAACCAAAAGGCATACATCTATAATCAAAAGTACCAAAAGGGCATGTAAAAGTAGTTTTCTCTTGATCCTCTTGTGACACAGGTATTTGGAAAAACCAGAGTATCCATCTAGAAAGCAGAAATGTGTATGTTCTAATAGTCTTTCTAGCATTTGATTAATAAAAGGTAGAGGATAATGATCTTTCCTAGTAGCTTTGTTTAATTTTTTAAAATCGATTACCATTCTATAACCTGTGATAGTTCTTTGTGAGATAAGTTCATTTTTATCATTAGGAACAACAGTAATACCTCCCTTCATAGGGACACAATGAACATGGCTTACCCATCTACTATCAGCTATGGGATATATTATACCTGCTTCCAGAAGCTTTAATATTTCATTTCTTACCACTTCTTTCATTTTTGGATTTAACCGTCATTGATGATGAACAACTGGTTTAGCATCAGGCTCCATATTAATTTTATACTGACATAGAGTGGGACTAATGCCCTCAAGATCATCATGAGTATATCCAATAGCGGCACGGTGCTTCCTCGAAGTTTTCAATAATCTCTTTTCTTCATGCTCTAAAAGGTTAACACTAATAATAACATGATATCTCTTCTTTTCATCAAGATAAGCACATTTCAAAGTATCAGGTAATTGTTTAAGCTCAAACACGGGATCGCTCTTGGGTGGAAGAGGATCTCCAAGAGTCTCAACATGCAAATTGTGTTTCAAAATAGGCATTTTTTAGAGAATATTTCATCTATTTCATTTTTTTCATTCATAAACATATCATTTTCATGGTCTAGCAAATAATGTTCTAAAGGATCAATAGGAGGCACGACAATAGAAGCAAGACCAATAATTTCATCTTTACTAGGCAATTCTT